GGACAAAAGGAAACTTGTAAAGTGACCGACTTCGGAATGGCCAGAGATGTGCAGAAGGAAAATATTTATGAACGTAAGACTAAGGTAATCAAGAAAGAGGGGAGGTGGGGGCGGCACTATATATGGTTCAGTTTAATTATCTTTCACAATCATTGTTGTGATAAAGCTGATATACTCCTGATTTCAATGACAAAATCCTTGGATGGGACCATAATGAAAACAGCCATTTGTATACGAGTATAATTTTAAATATCACTGTCTTTGACCGGTCGCTTCCTATAATTTTTTTAGCTGTTTCAAAAAGTGATATTTGAAATCTTTAGGGCCGTCTTCCAGTGAAGTGGACAGCTTATGAGGCCTTGATGTATGGTAAATATACCACCAAAAGTGATGTGTAAGTATACCCGATTATTACCCGTAGCAATTTTCCAACAAGTTTTACCAATAGAATAAGAGGGAGGGTAAGTTTTGGGCTCGGTAAAGAAATAGAGAAAGATGTTTTCCATCCTCTCTTGAGCGTTGGACAATGAAAATATTCTTCACTCCCCATGAGGAATCGAACCTCAGACCATCGGATTCCGCGCTCCGATGCTCATACCACTGAGCCACAGAGACTCTACGACTCTATTCTCTTGCATACTGCAAGGATCAGTAATGTCGATAGAGTCATGTTTGTAAATAAAAATAAGAGAGAGAATCGGAGCGCGGAATCCGAAGGTCTGAGGTTCAATTCCTCGTGGGGACTCAAAATTTTTCCTTCGTCCCACAATCGTGACAAGACGAAAAACATCTTTCTCTAAGTTTTATCAGTTTCAATCAGGACATGAATTCTATGCTTTGTCAAAGAATACATATATTTTAGGTGTCGTATAAAATGTTTATGCCTTCAGTCACCCAATATATATTTGTTTGATTTGTCTTTCTGCAGATGGAGTTATGGAGTTTTGCTGTACGAGATTTTTACCATAGGTAACATCGAATGGAAATTTATATGGCCCTGTCTATGTTTTTTGCTATATACCATGTTCAATTAAGCAATGTAAGGTGTTCACTTAG